TTTTGACGCCCCATGGCTACCCATATACTATTAATTATAATTTTCCGATAAGTTTCAACGGTCCATTTCGACTATACTTAGTCCTCATCAATCACAGAAATATCAGTATTGCCGGTTCTACAATGAGTCGATAGTCTTAAGTTTTATGTGAAGTTGACCAACTTGTACGATTAATGCTGATTGGTCAATTTCACCGATTAAGTCTAAAGATTTCCGACTATAGACTCATTGTAGACCCAGCATATTACAAAAATATCCAAATATCTAATTATATTATGAGGATCATCTCACATTCGAGTTACAATAGATAATATAACAGATTTCTAAGAATCATGTCACCTTTGTGTACAAAGGACGATATATCGCAACCATATTATATGTAGTCAAACTTGATAAATAATAAACGATGTAGTAAAAAGTCATGATTTTGAACCAATTCATCGGTTAATAGCGAGAAAGGGCAGTCAATATGAATAAAAGAATAAATTCGAGTCGTATTAATGATGTAGCTTGATGTCAGATCATATAAATAGTTGTATTTACGTCTTTAATAATATTGGTAGATGAACTAAATAGAATAAATTATCATCAAAATTGATGCTATAAAGAAATTACAGTTTGTAACTTAAAAACTATCTTTAATAATTAAAAAATATATGGTAAACCGATAATAAATTATAACTTTATGTACGTGTATATATAAAAATTCATTTGAATAAAAGCCACACGAAATATAAATAACAAGCACTTCAAATTTATAATGTCATTTAACGAAATTAAATAATTATCAAGGAATAAAGAATAAAGATTATGCAACACTTACATTAATATGAAGGCAAATACAAAGTTATATAGGATATCCCATTTTAATCACTTAAAATATCTTTTGAACAGTGCATTTTAAGGAAAAATGTTTCAACAAAAGTTTTGGGACTTTGAGGAGGACATAAGATGATGCCATTGGTTTTATTTTAGGTGGCGTCGTCAGGACAAGATTATTTTGAATTTTTTAAACGGAATTTCCCATTTTTCGTTACGTATTCTTGTAGCTTACCTTGAAAGCTTTCTAAAACATTGTAATTAAGTTTATTATTATTAAATATTTTTCGAGATATAAGGCTTGCAAGTTACAGCACCGCAAGCATTAGCATTACGCAAGGTGCCCAACTGACAGTTAAAACCTCTTTAATGTTGTTCAGGATCATTTTCTGAATAACATTTGTCAAGTTCAAAGTCATTGAAGATTGTATATCTTATTTTCATTTTTTTTTAAGTAGAAATGAATTTTTAGTACAACAATAAAAATAAGAGGAACAATCTGCAATAACCTTGATCTTGACAAATATTATTCACAACATGATCCTGAACAACATTTAAGAAATTTTAGTCTTCGATCGGACACCTTGGGTAATGCTAATGCCGGCGGTACTGTAACTTGCAAGCCTTATAACTCGAAAAGTACTTAATGAAAATAAGTTAATTATAGTGTTTTGGAAAGCTCTTGAAATAAACTACAAGAATACGTAATACAAAATGGGAGGTTCCGTTTAAAAAATTAAAAGTGATCTTGCTCTGACCTTGACGACGTCACCTAAGGTCAAACTAATGACATCATCTTATGTACCTCTCGAAGTCCCAAAACTTTTGGAAAAATGTTGGAAACATTTTTCCTTAAAATGCACTGTTCAAGAGATATTTAAGATGATCGATTAAAATGGGACACCCTATATATAATGATAAGTTAGCAGCAGTCTATTACAACTGTAAAATACAGAATTTAGATCGGTTATATTCACTGATACAAGATCAATCTTAACTGTGAGAGAGTATAAACGCAAATGATACCATATGTACGTCAAAAAGTCAAAAGACAAAAGAACTGAGCGCTGTCGTTTTTGTTATTATTAGAAAATAAATTTAACACATAAAAATGTATATGTCTAGAGATTCGGTGTCTTTTTTTAAATTTATATCATTTAACTGTTCTTTTATATGTTGTGTTTTCGAAATGTCTTTTATTGTAATTTGATTCCGTATTCATTATTCTAACATTCTTCTAAATTAAAATTATGATTGTATTGTAATATATGTTCCGTTATAACTGAATGCCTAGATGAGTCAAGCTTTATATTTTTAATATGCTCATTTATTCTGATATTGAGTTTCTTCTTCGTCTGTTCCACATAAGAAACGTTACAATTATTACATTGAATCTTATAAATTACATTATTATTTTCAGAAATTACTTTTTTGTCTTTATGCGCTTTTATATTAAGTGCGCAACTAAGTTCTCGCTGTTATTTTGCACTTTCATCAAAATAACAGCGAGAACTTGTATGTATGTGGTTGACTGTGTGACGCTGTGGATAAATGGAAGTACAAAAAACTTTTTCTTTATAAATTACTTTATTATATTGGCAGGAACGTTGTTGTCATCTTTCTTGCGTAGTTGCCGTCTTTTTTGCTGAGAGTAACTTTTTTATTCTTGTATTGAACAGTTTAAATATTAAATCTAACGGATATACGTTGTTTAAAAGAATACGAATGCACATTTCTAAATTTTTTTTTATACAACTTGGATGTGATAATAGAATTGCTCGATTCACTAGACTATACGGTACTGATTTTATGACACAGAGAGTGATTAGACAAAAAAGAAAGATATCTGCCCGAATACGTCTTTTTTTTAAACCAATCCACAGTTATCACACAATTTGCTTTAAATAACAAGTCCAAAAAACTTATACTATGCTTTTCTTCAATAGTTCAGGGATCGGCAGATGGGCACTGCTTGCGAGCGTCCAGTTGCAATAGTTGAATGCGTTGGCCAATAAATGATATAAGGAAAAATAATAAAGGGGTATCACATTTTCTTTAGGGGAAGACGCATTTTCTTTCTCTTGTATAATTTTGGTTCATATGTAAATATATAAAAATATGTAGAAAAAAAAAATAAGTTAATTAAAAAAATTAATTAGAAAAATAATCTTACATAGTTTGAAATTCTTTTGCATTATGTAAATATAAATTGTCTATATATGTTTTCTTTCTTTTTATAATCGCTGTTCGACACATTAGAAAAATATTTAGAATTGAAAAATAATTAAAAGAACAATTTTTGTTTTGTTTTTAAATAAAAACAGATTAAAAAATGGAAAAAAATGTATATAATCATATTTAATAATATATAAAAAGTATATATAATTATATATACTTATAGAATATTGTATAATTATATAGATATATATATTTTATATATAATATAAAAAAAAATAAAGAATTTCAGATACCGTTTAGGAGAAGTATTAAAAAATATTCTTTTATACAAATTTAGATAACTCAGAATTAATACAATATAAAATAATAACGATGTATGTTTCGAAAAAACGTTCTTATTTATAACAATATGATAATGATAATATTTAATTCAAAAGTATTTGATTGACGATTTGATATTATTTGCGAAATAAGTGAGTTGTGAATGAAGTTGACTGTAGACATATACAATAACTGGGCATTCGCGGGTGCCCGCGGGCGCTCGTGACTAATTTCAGCATTTTGCCGATCCCTGCAATAGTGAATTGTAACCTTTTGTGTATACTATTGAAGGTCTGATAGATAGACGAAATATGATCGGTGGGGGTCGCCATAATTATATCATCCATGTATTTTTTTAATTGTTTTTAAGTTACAAATTGTAATTTTTTTATAGCACCAATTTTGACGATAAAATTTCCATTTAGTTTATCTACTAATATTATTAAGGACATACATACAACCATTATGATCTGACATCAAGCTATATCATTATATAATATGACTGGAATTTATTTTTTTATTTATATTGACTGCCCTTTCTCGCTATTAACTGATGAATTGGTTCGGAATCATGACTCTTTACTACATCGTTTATTATTTATCAAGTTTGACTATATACGATATGATTGCAATATACCTTTGTAACACGAAGGTGAGATGATTCTTAGAAATCTGTTATATTATCTATTGTAACTCGAATATGAGATGATTCTCATGATATATTAATATAATTAGATGTTTGGGTATTTATGTATTTCTGCGGTTAATAAGGCTATGCATAATCGAAACGTACCGTTGAAACTTATTGTCGGAAAATTATAATTTGTGGTTAATAAATATTATTTGATACACATAACTATAGCTCGTTTAATATACTGACATGAGTTTTACTATTTATTAACTTGTTATAAGTTATACAAGAAGAATTGATATTATTTACATTGTAATAAAAAATTTTTTATGCATATAAGAAATTATATAAGGAGTTATTAATAAATGAAATGCTATCGAAAAAATTACAATTTGACAATTTAACATATACTATTAGGCGGTAGAAACGTTTACTTACATTGAAATAGTTTTCGCAAAAGAAGTTCAATTTGCTGTTTTTGAGATTATCTCTCCGAACGGCATCAAACTATTATTTATGAAATTAATAACATTTTCATAATTATAGTGCCCCAAAACAAAAGTTTCAAAAGTTTCGTCTTGTGATACTATTGCGAACACTTTATTTGGTGTACTTTTGATTGTATTGCCACAGAAAGGGACAAATCACGTCTTATATGTTTTAATCGTTGTCATTCCTATTAAAACATCGAGATACTAATAGATACCATATATGGCATGTAACATTGCGACCGCTCGGGTAACTTCGAGCATGATCGACGCGTTGTCGACTGAGTTTGAAATAATATTTTATAAAACCTAACTGTCTCAATTATTACGAAAAAAAAATAAAAAATAAAAAAGGTCTTTTTTTTCTATTAAATGCCTATAAACTTTTTATTAAAAAAAAAAGTTACATTTAAAAACCCAATGGATACAATATTTGTCTTGTGATGTTAGATCGAAAAGATTATCGAATTTTGCAAGAAATAACTTTATATTTGACCTTTCATTAATTTCAATCTAATTTTAACAAATCGAATGAAGAAATATCCCTCTCGTTTCTGTTTCAGCTGTATCGTCATACATACCTGGCGCATTACAGGATCGTGAACCTGGAGACTCTGTAAGTAAACGAGCCATGTTTGTGACAATCATATCTTAAATTTATTCCATGATTTCAAGTTCGGATTTGCATTTTAATCTCGGTCCCGAGAAGGAAGAGGATGAGAGTCGAGGGAAAAGCCGCACCACGCCGCGTGCAAATTACAAACTGTGCACGAATTTAATCCCGCGCCGTCTTACCGTCATCACCTTGCTCGCCTCTCCAACCTCGTTCGTTCCACGTCTGAGAACTTTCCCTCGCGGATTTGATCATTAACTCAGCATTTAGGAGCGGTTATATTACGATTACGAACCTGCCGCCATTCCCGACCATCGCGGCGATTTTACTCTCTGTACTTGTCCTTTCCCGCAGGCGAGAAAAATTTAAAGCTGTTTTCCAAGGCCTGAACTTATCCGCATGGCTGCACTTTTCGTGATATTGAGACTTGCTGGCCTTGCAAAGACAGGATAAATCGTGACTTACCTTTTCAAGGATTTCCCCATTTTTTTTAATTCCTAACTATCCCAATATTCTCGTGGTCGGGCTTATGCTAAGAATTACGTTACCTCTAATTCAAATATTAATTAAAGTAGAGAAATTAATATCAGCAATCCATTTAGTATCTCTCTTGTTAAATTTATTTGTATATTTTGCTTGTTCATCATGTGTAACTGTTTATACACACATTTGCTTACTTGTTAGCTCGATGTGCATATATCAACATTAATATAATTATATTTATTCTTGTTATTTATTTATGAGTAAATATATAAATGTTCTTAATTCTCTAATATTTAACGTACATAAAGAGATATGAATTTATATATAAAAATACGTAAGATATATAAATATCTTTTTAATCGATTAAAAACTGTTTATCTTTGTAATTAAGAATTTAGCACAATAATTGAAGATAAAATCCGCGATGTGTTATCAGTTATGATACTTTTATAGAGAAGGGAACAATTTTTTTATATTATATATTAGTAAAATTTCTCCCAGAGAAATCATCCGAGAAACTAGGTCGCCTGTAAAACTCGTAAAATTTCGTAGACCAATTTCTCACTATCGCGCGAAACCGCAAAGACTTTCTCGAGATCCGCGGGAATAGTATCGTCTTTAGCGGTTTCCTGTCGTTCACACTCCTCCAAAGGAACCGATGTGCCTTGAGGTTCATCCACGTGGAACTATGAAACTGCTGAAACTCGTCCTACAATCATGAGAGCGCGAAATTTCGTCGTTATATATATGTGAATGCCCGCGGCCCTCAACGGGCGAATCTCACGATTTGGACTTTACCATTGCGCTTGAGATCATCGTTCTCAAATAGTCGCGCAAATCAAACTTCAGTCCGTTTCTAAACGTGATTTGCAAAGGCCGTTCGTCATCTTTATATGTACATACGTAGAGTGGCTGTTTCACAGTTTAACTGCTATAACGAGCGGATACACATGCTCTTTGCTGTCAAGTTCAAGTTTCAAATTGGCTTTCGGGAAAAGACGAATTTTAAGATAAAAATATGTAAATGAAATATTGCAGTATTATTTTGAAAGTAGGATTTCAATTGTATCGTGATTTTACATAAGAAAACTTATATAGAAAAAACTCATATACGCTTTCAAAGGATAATTATTTAATTGATAAATTTTTATAAATTTCTATAAATTTCTATAAATTTGATATTTCTTTAAAAAAACACACAAGACGATTGCAAGCGTTAGCTTGCAGAATACAAAAGATACTGTAAATACTCGTATCGATACAATAAAATTAATGTTATTTTGTGTTTCTTATTTACTACAATAACAACACAACATAAAAAATAATGTTTTCTAGGGAAAACGTTTTGAATTATTAAAATTTTGCAATATTAATTTAAAAATGCACTTTTGGTGTAATAACTAATTATAGAAGAATAAAAATATGTTTTTTAAAAAATATTAGGTGCGCAACTAAGTTCTCGCTGTTATTTTGATGAAAATGCATCAAAATAACAGCGAGAACTTAGTTGCGCACCTAATATGTTTGTTTATTTTTTTTTTAATTTGTGTTATTTTCTTGTACCAACAAAAACATGACAATCTTAGAATTGTGTCAGAATGTAGAATTGTATCATTATTGTAACAGAATGTAACAAATGAGCAATATGTCTTCTATCAATTATTTTATGCATTTTTAGACAAGGGAAATATACAGGCAATTATCATAAATGAATGAAATGCCAATTCGTCCATTTTATGATAAATTTTATGGATAAATAAAATCTATTGTGCGGCCGCTGCATCGCTTCTATCTCTGACAGTGGTTTCACGCAAGAGTGAAAATGTAAACATGTATTTTTAGAAAAATAAGAAATGTACCTTGTCTCTGACACATATATTGCGCGGAGTAGTCGCATCGTAATCTTACGTTATACGTATTATTATATACGTTTTGACATTAAGAAGCGATTTTTCTCTCCGCCAGAATTTTTATTTTTTGAGATTTAAAAATTAACGCTGGGACAGCGTTAAAATAAATTCTTTGCGAAATTTACTCTTATTTGTATTTGTATGTAGAATGTATCCATTCATTCGACACAGTTTATTGTTGAGGATTATACGAGTGTCATTGTGATTGTATATATTTGTTATTTTATTGCGCATTATAGAAGTTAACTATTCTTTGCTAATTATTCATTGCAAAAAATAGGGCAATTATTCGTTGAATGGTGTGCAACGGAAAGCAGTACAGCGAAAAGCGCGAACATCGCTATCAACTCGATGTTTCTATAATAGATGGTCATTCTGATACAAATTATGGTCAAAGCTGCTTTGGGCCGTTCAAGTGGACCATTCGTCATTGTTAATATTATAGTTATGGTTGCTGGAAAAATAACTGGAACGGACGATAAAATAAATTCCTTACGAAATTTATGCTCATTTGTATTTGTAGTATATCCGTTGATTTGACACAGAAAAGTGAACTCATGCCAAGACGTTATTTTATTTTAAGTGCAGATGAAACGTTCCGCTCTGGAATTCCGTTTTTTGCAATTGTAATATCATATTATTGCGTATTTGGAAACGCTCTAGTTTGTGCCGATTGAAATAAAATTGAAGTTTACGTAAAAAACAATTATTTTTATCTTAATATCTTGATGGCTAAAATTGAAACAGAATCTTCTGCGATATTGATTCAAAAAGATAGGAGCTTTCATTCGTAATAGAATATATATATAAACTTATATTTTTATGACGCTAAAGGAACATGAAGCCTCCTACTAAATTTCTTTGTTATTAAATTTATTAGAAGAAGTTTCAATATTCAATTACATAAAAAAATGTAACATTTGAACTTAGCATGAATATAATTTGAATAGAACAAAACTGTGAAAAATTATGGAACATAAAATTATTCCAATCATTACACTATTTAAAAGTCATCAAAGTATTCTAAGGTCACCAGGACTTATATGTTCCAATTACACACGGATTAAAAAATATTTAGAACACTTTTATGATTTTTAATTAAATAGTGTAATAATTGGAATGATTTAATATTTTATAATAAATGATTAATTAAGATCGTAATGTGAATACACAATAAGTAAGAATATTAAAACCTATAATGGTCGAATATATATATACACACTATATATGTACACGCATATATTTGTAGTCATTCGAATTGCGCGTTGAATTGGTTTTCCGGACTTAAATGCAATTAAACTACTGTAATAATATCACAAATTAAATTAAGCAAGTTTAATAATTTTGCAAATTTTTAATAATTTTGATATTCAATCTGCTATCATATTAGAAAGATATTGATGTGTTGAAAAATTGTAAATAAATTTATTGCGAAATATTACCTCGATATTACCTCAGTCAGGAGTCGAACCCGAATCTGTTCTATTAGGTGTACAAAAAAGTTCTGAGCTTTAGATTTGATACAACCGAAATAACAATTTAAATTTTATATATCTTCCCGCCCTTTTGCGGTTTTAAAGCGTTAACATTTGGCCTTCTAAAATGCCATACGGTTTGGCGTTTGATGCACATAACCTCAAAAATCAGTAGTGTTCACGATGGCAATAACAAAAGAGCATATTCGATTTTCCATCCACTTCGCGTTTCATCTGAAGAAAAATGCTGCTGAAGCCACTGCAATGATTTGTGCTGCATATGGAGAGAACGCTGTAAGTCATGCTACATGTAAAAGACGGTATCAAAAGTTCGCCAAGGAGATTTCAGTCTTAAAGATAAATCGCGTGCTGGACGCCCTGAAAAGATTGAAACGGACGAATTGCAAGCATTGCTGGATATAATCTCTGAAAAGGAGCTTGCAGAACAGCTTGGCGTTACGCAGCAAGCCATTTCCGTACGATTACATACGTTTGTTTTTGAATAAAGATTGAATTTTACAAAAAAAAGCTCAGAACTTTTTTGTACACCTAATATATATTCCGTACGAGCATCCTAAGCCTTTTGACTATCGAGGCAAACCAATTCGGCGCATAGTTCGAACTACAAATATGGCATATATGCATGTACATATATAGTACATATATAATTCACATTGAATTATTTAAAGCATTTAAGATCCAGCTTCGACTGGAATAATTTAACGTTTCATAATCTTATTTTCCACAGTTTGTTCTAGTCAAACCATATTCATGCTAAGTTTAAATGTTACAATTTATGTAAAATAAATATGTGTGTATATATATATATATATATATATATATATATAAAATTGAATACTATATATGTGTGCGTGCGTGTATACTTATATATCATTGTAATATAATGTAGTAGGTAATGATAAATCTAAAGTTTACGTTGTTATTAAAACAACTCTTTTATGTTCATTTCTACAATGTAAAATAATTTTAATCTTGGTTTAATTTAGCCTTTGTTCCGACTTTTAGAATTAAAAAAGAGATAAAACGTAAGTAAAACAAGATTAAAGTTAATCTACATTAGCAGAAATAGACATTATAGAATTAGTTCCATACCCACAAAAGTAATTTCCTACTTCATAAAAGTTAACTACAACGTTACTAATTTTAATACTTAATGACGTGTTTTTTAGACATTGGGGGAGAGCTGCTTTTAAAATTATTTTGCACAATTTTACGCTTGTAAGGGCACAGTAATCTGGTACGATTAATAAATAATTACAAAAAATGCATATCTTTTTTATCGAGTTGGATATTCTCGCAGACCGCAGCAAATTCTCAAAATCAAAGTGCACCAAGTGCGAAGGTTTATCATGCCAGAATTTTGCGATGATTGGTTTACATGTGGCGGCAATGACGTGGAGAATAGTCGGGGGAGTAA